AAAAAAAAAAAAAAAAACAAAAAACAAAAACAAGAAGTTGTGAGTACAGCTAAATTACATTTATTAACTTTTAAGCAACAAGAAAAACAATAAAAAATGGAAGAAGAAGAAGAAGAAGACGATGAGAAGAGGAACAACAAGAAGTGTTAGTGTTAAAAGGAAAAAAGTCTTGTTTTTTGTGCGAAAAGAAATACCTAAAAGAAATTACAAACTATATGACTATATGTAAAATGTAATACTTGTAATAAACATTCAAATAAAGTTGAAAACTGTCTTTGATTTTAATGGAGCTGTCTTTTTATAATGAATAGATGGGTAGAAAATGGAAGAAAACATATATATAATAATTCATTATATATAAATTAATTTAATATAGGGTATTGTTTAGTTGTCCAGTCTGGCTTATTGCTTTTGCCACGTGTTTACTAAAGAATGTTTTTCATTAAATGAATTTATTTAGATATATATGAACAAGTTTTTAATACACTTTGAGATATTATATATAAATTAATTTATTATAGGGTATTGTTTAGTTGTCCAGTCTGGCTTATTGCTTTTGCCACGTGTTTACTAAAGAATGTTTTTCATTCAATTAATTATCGCTCTTATGCGCCACTTGCTCGAGAGTCTTTATAATGTTTATAAGTTAAAAAATAAAAACAACAACGAATATGATGAAAATAGTTGGGTTCCCATGCTAATTGAATGGGTCAACTGAAAGCATTTTTTCTGCAGCTGCTGCCAAATTCGGCATAGCTAAAAAGCTGAAGGCCATAAAGTGTATGAAAATGCTGGTTGACTAAGCAGAATATTATGGGGTTTAATCAGCCATCACAAAGCGTATCAGATATCAAGGTAGTTAAGATATATGAATATATATGTATATAAAATGGTATATATAAGAAAAAGTAATGAAACACAGGCCAAGAGTGCCAGAGCATAAACTGTACTGATAGCGAGGCAGAGAGAGGGAGAGAAAGAGAGAGTGAGAGGGAGAATGAGAGAGAGAAAACTGGTATATGGCTGCATGATAAGTTTATGTATCTGTAAAATCTGTGTATCTGCTGTCTGGCATTCGTGAACATGCGCTTGTCTCTGAAGGATCACGCCCGTCTCTCTCAAAACGCACAGCAACAACAGCATTGCATTTGTATATTTTAAAATATAGTTCAAACTTTGAATTTGTTAATTTTATAATAATATATTTCTTCTTTTTTTCTGTCTATTTACAGTATGAAATTGTGGCCAAATTCGCCGGTTCATATACCAAAATATGATGGAATGCTGCCATTTGCCAGCAGCGCATCGCCGGCGGCCAGCAGCAGCCCAATTGCTATCAATTCGGTGACATCCACAAATTCGCCAACATTGAAACTGATGGATGCCACAAACATGGTGTCGCCGCAGCATGTGCCAGCGGATATGGATGATTATGTATGCAATATATATACATATATATATATATCTCGCTCGTAATCTAATTTGTTGTTTTCTCTTATGTAGAATCAGAATATAATGCCAGAATCAACGCCCGCACAAGTCACACAATGGCTCACGCATCATCGTCTGACGGCCTACCTCAACACCTTTACCCATTTCTCTGGGGCGGATATTATGCGGTGAGAGAGCAAGCGAGCTTTATAATATACAGGCTAATTCTTGTATTCTCTCTTTCTATATTTTTAGCATGTCCAAAGAGGATCTAATACAAATCTGTGGACTCGCCGATGGCATACGCATGTTTAATATATTGCGCGCCAAGTATGCAATGATACTAGCTGAAAAGCAGTTGGATTAATCTGTGATAAGGGAAGAGTATTTGAGGAAGATGCAAAGCTATATATGCTAGTTCTTGCCTTGCCTAAAAGACTCTCAATTAAATCTTCAATCTCTCTATTCTAATCCACTAGCAGATTAATCCAATATACAATCCACATCTATTTCGCTATTATTATTTGAATTATTCCAAGCATTCACTAACATTTCTTTTATCTCTCGCAGATCCATTTCGCCTCGTCTGACGCTCTATGCCAGCATGGATGGCTGCAGCTACAATGCCATCTACTTGCTCTCTAATACGGCCAAGGAGCTGCAGCAGAAGATCTATAAGCTGCCCGGTTTCTATGAGTTCATGGCCAAGGGCGGCTCGTCAGGCCTCTTGGAAAATGGCAGCAATCTGCCAACTGCCGCAGCAGCAGCGGCGGCGGCGGCTGCTGCCGCTCTATGCAACAATTGGGGCATGCACTCGAAATATTCGGGCAGCGGCTCGAACATCTTCAACGAGGTGAACAAGAGCAGCGTCTACATATCGGGGCCATCGGGCATACTTGTCAGCGTCAGCGATGAGGTGCTCAACAATGAGGTGAAGGACGGCAGTCTCTATGCCCTGGATGTGCAGGGTGGCAAGGTTATATTGAAGCTGATCAATAAGCAGGATAACAATTAAACCAAAATTGTCTATCGAAGCTTCAGAACTAGTTGTAGAAATGCTATTGTTGCCTGGTACAAACAGATTAACCATGATAAAGAAAAGTATATTATTTAGCATTTAAATTGAGCTATATCAAACAAATGTTATGAGTAACACACACGCATATTACAGTTCTTTTTCACACACATACACACACAGGGCCATACATACAAATATCTATGTATGCTCCTATTTCTATATAAGTTTCAATTTGTATGAGATTTCGCGCAGCAATTTTGAACAAGTAGCCACATTTTCTTTAAGAGTTTCCGTTTTTATCCCTGCTTGCGTTCCCATTTGATCCGACATCAAAATTAAAAACAAAAATTGCAAGAATATTTCATTTTATTTTAAATTTGCATTTGATTTCGTTTCAAATATTTTCTTTTCGTATGCTGCATGTTTTAAGTTGTAAGCTTTATTATTTTATTCTTTAAACCTTTATATATATGTATACACCATATATCACATACAGCAAGAAGATATATACATATAAATATGAAAAAGTTGAAGTAGAAACAAAATAAAAAATCACAAAAAAAATAATACAAAAAAAAAAAAAAAAAATTAAAAAAAAAAAAAATCAGCAAGTTATTACACACAGACACCTATATAATTAATTAATTGAAAGTACAGTACCACAAAATCGAGCATTGGAGCAACAAATGTCGGATAATTGAAATCAGCTAACAACCAAACAAGATCTATTGTTTTAACTAATTTTATCCATTGTATGTGATAAAAAGCAATAAAGAGTTATCCAAGAGTGGACTGTCAAAAAAAAAAAAACCCCCGAAAATTTTTAATGATCTAATTGAATTTGTATTTTTACTGTCAATAATGCGAAATTAATATATTTTCTTTATATAGTATATATTCCAATTGTTAACTCAAATGGTTATGGTTGGATTAACGGTACAAATATGGTTTGGATATCAAGTTTTTACAGCTGATAGTTGTTCAGAAAACTAGGAATACTAGGAATGGGACCTTATACGAGATAGAGCTACTAACGACACTAATATAATACTGATAACTATAATACATGATAGAGTATCCAAACAAACTCAACATTTTATCATCGAATGCGCATTGAATTCCGTATTTCTTCGGATCTTTTCTAGGTTCGATCAAAAAAAGCTAGGAGAGCTGCTAAGCTCAATGCTAACAGAGATGTTATCGATTTAATATCAGCTTTATAGTACTCTGGTAACCCTTTTGGCATGGGGAAGTACTCGAAATTTAAGTTTTTAGTGCTGTGACAAAATTAGATTAAAATTGCTTTTAGATGTGTTAACAAAATTTTTAGACATGAAATATTTGGCAGGAATATTAATATTACTATTTGCTGTGATGGGTAAATCAAAGCTATATAGATGATGTTAACTAGAAGTTTAAAATATATAATTAAAACAGACGTTCAGACCGATTGCCAAATAAGCAAAGAAATGGTGGAGAATACCAATCGCATATTCACTTATCGTGATGAAAGAGGAGCCCTCCAACTGTTGCGCGCAGAGCCGGTGCCCAGTGGACTGAAGCTTTATATGGTGTGCAATGAGAAGGATGTAGTGGAGACCGAATGCCAGGATAATGGCCGCTTTACGGTGGCCTTGCCCATGAGCTGCAACTCGCCCATGAAAACGAGCGTAATGCGAGAAGGACGCAACTCTGACTGTCCTCAAACATTGTACATTGTGGGCTATATGTTGGAGGGACAACAACTGGAGCTCTATCGCGCCTGCTACGATGGGCAGAATGGACGTGCTCTGTACTCCCAGAGCGATGTCTACTTTAAGAGCTACTGTAAGGCATTAGCTAAATTGTTTTAGACTAAGATAAACTCTATAAGTAGAGCAGTAGTAGAGTAGTTGATATAGAATATGTAGGGCATAGTTAGAGTAGAGTATAGCATACGGTATGTAGAGTATGTGTATGTGATCTACATATCTATATTATTAGTTGCCAAACGACCCTGGGTGGACTTCGATACGGATCAGATAGTTAAGCCCCTTGAGGCCGCTGCCTATATGAAGCATCGGATGTACGACGAATTTCAACTTGTATTTGGCAAGAATCAACGGTATTTGCCCAGCGCCAGAGATTTGGTCATCAATCGCGGCCATTTGGTGCCCTCGGCCGATTTTCTCTTTTGTGATCAGATGGCCAGCACCTTTCGCTACATCAATGTGGTGCCGCAGTTCAAGAGCATCAACGATGGCAATTGGGAAAAAATTGAGCGTTGGCTACGCGGTCAGGTGACCGCCCAGCAGCCATTTCGTATTCGGACTGGCGGCATCGATATCCTCAGGCTGCAGGACGAGAATGGCAACGAGCGCAGCGCCTGCTTGGCCGACTCCAAGCTGCCAGTGCCCAAGTGGATCTATAAGGTGGTGCGAGATATTCAGGGCAATGGACTCTATGTCTTTCTCTCCTATAACAACATATTCGAGCGACAGCGTCCATTACTTCTATCCACCTGTCAATCTGTCGCATGTCCTATCAATCTGCCTGACGATCCAAATGCTGGTTTCATCTATTGCTGCAATCCAACGAATTTCCCCTACTGAGGTGAGTTCAATTTTCATTTATTTATTATTATACTCTTAAACATAATTTTCTTACCAAATTCCACCTCTTAAATTTCTGCAACATTTATTTTTCTTAGACTCACAGCTATGCTTTAAACTTCATTTAAAATTTACGATTCAAATCGCTTAAGCCTTATTAGAGCCCATTGGAAATGGGTTTGTAAATTATTTAGTATATTTACTTAACGGTCCTGAGCTTATTAGACAACAGTAAACGATTAGCGAGCAAGCACTGCTCAAAAAAGTAGACATGAAAATGGCCTACAAATAAATACAAAATATGTATATTATAAGTTTAAAAATAATATTATTAAGAGATGAAACGCAAGTAAAAGCTTGTTTTTTATAATGTACAAATTAAAAAAAAAATACATGAATATAAATTATTAATTAA